CAATGCTACAGTGAATAACCTTATACATACAATACGTATTTGACCATAATCATTTCTGAATGGCAAGTTCTGAGAAATTGATTTATGGATGGAAAGGAATATAGTTTTTTTGTGTTGTTGTTGTTAGTTGTCAGATTGTCCAATAAGCTATGTGAGTGTGTCAGGCTTCCTCAGTGATTAAAAGTTTTTTTTTTCTTAAATTTTATTTATTGTTGAAAATATATACAACAAAACATGCACCAATTTTACATGTACAGTTTAATGACATTGAGCACACTCTTCAAGTTGTACAGCCATTCTCATCCTTCTTTTCTGAGTTTTTTCTGCAACACTGCCATATATGCTCTGCCCTCTGAGTTGCATGTCTAATCTTTCCACTTGCTGTTGTCAGTTTGACCCCATATGTTGTTAAGTGCTGTCATGTAGGTTCTAACTCAGAGCCACTCTGTGTTGTAGGTGCTAAGTGCTGTCAAGTAGGTGTCAACTCACAGACATCCTGTATAGGGTTTCCAAGCAGCTGGTGAGTTTGAACCACCAACCTTGTGGTTCAAACTGACATTGTGGTCCAGGGCTTTATCCAACAGTACCATACAAGGACTTAAGACAGCCATAATATTCAAGGCAAATCCTTTTTTCTGGTTAGGCTAAGTTACTGTTCAGTTTTAAGAGGACTTTGGGGATATTTGTTTTAAGGGTGATGAAATGTTTTGACGTTTATTAATCTAATGAGTGCTAAATGGTATCTCAAGTAGTTTTCATTTATATTTTTCATAGTAGAAGTGAGGTTGAGCATCTTTTCATATGCTTGTATATCCTTCCCAGTAACTGTTTTCATATTCTAATTTTCCTATTGGGATGTTCATTGCACAAGTTCTTGGTTAAATGTATCCATTTTGAAAATACCTTTTATAAGGATGCTTTAAATTTTATTCTATATATTATGAAGCACCCATGTTATTTTCCTTTTTTTTGTGCTAGCTTATAAACTTTATTTGTTTATTTTTAAGCATCAGCATTTAGTTTCATTGATTTTTTTTTTCCCCC